AATAATTGAATCTCAAAAAAAATGTTTATCAATATTCAGGCAATTATTTAGTTACATACTAACTATGAAGGAAAAAATCTTTGTTTGAATAATATCCCTAAACAGTTATTTCAAGAAGAAATTACTGGAGAAATTGCTCTCAGCTGATGGAAAAAGGTGTTCAAACCAAGGTCAGTTTTATTTAAGGTGAGAGGGAGAGGCAGGATCTGAAAGAAAAAAATGTGTAAGAACTGTCAAGAGCAGATGGAAATGGAAAAATAGGGAGGGGAAAAACAGAAGAAGCACAGAAACATTATCCCCCTCCCCACTGAAAGATTTTTTTCATCTCCTCCACAGAAAGCAGGTAGAAGAAAGCTTTCCAACACTCAGTGAAGCTCAACTGCAGATATCTAAAATTTGACTCCTCTTTTCCTTCTCTCTACCATAACAGCATGGACCAGAAAATATAATTAAAATACAGCCTGAGCACAACAACTTCTTTCTGATGTAACTCCTTATTTGTGTGTAAAATATACCAGACAGGATCCAGAAGAGCAACTGAAAAAGGACTGAACGTGGCACTATTAACATTTTAAACAGCACAGCATACACCTATGGATGAGGACAGTCGGGGGCAGGATAAGGACAGGGGGTGGGGTGGGAACCCGGTGGAGGGGAGCTATGGGGGGGGAGGGAAATCTGAACAATAAAGATTTATTTAAAAAGAAAAAAGAGCAGAAACTGGTTTGGCTCAGTGGATAGAGCGTCGGCCTGTGGACTGAAAGGTCCCGGGTTCGATTCGGTCCAGGGCAAGTACCTTGGTTGCGGGCACATCCCCAGTAGGGAGTGTGCAAGAGACAGCTGATCGATGATTCTCTCTCATCGATGTTTCTAACTCTCTGTCCCTCTCTCTTCCTCTCTGTAAAAAAATCAATAAAATATATTTTTTAAAAAGAAAATAAATAAATAAATAAAATGGAAATATTAAGAAAAAATTAAAATATCTTTATCTGTTCTTATTGATTCTATGAATACGAGTTGTTGGATCATAATACAGGGTCTGCTGAGGCATGTAGAGATATACCTCTCTACTAAAAGCCCCCAATTGCCACATTCAGTGAGTTCTTGAGTCCAGTTTCATGTCTTCCACCCTTATTGTAGCTCATAACTTCTTGCTGGTTATATGTACCTCCCTCCAGCAATAATTTATAGCCTTTCTATTTAACTGCTTATTTACTACTAGAAAATCAAACTTGTAAAGACTGTGCATAAATTTAGAACATTAGTAGCCTCTGTACAAGGTCACAAGGAGCTCTCAGATGAGTCAACTAAATAAGCAGGAGATCCTTGGTATTTAGGTGCCCAGATATGACTTCTGCTTAACCACTATCTCACCTCTCTGGTGAAGAGAGTTTGAGGTATAGGATAGGCAACTTCCAAAAAAGCAAAGTGTTACTGAATTCTAAAGAGTTTATTCTCACTCAAACTCAGTGGCACCTTGGAGAAGACTGGAATCATCCAACATACAGCAGAAAAAACCTAGATATACCCCAAATAATTCCTGATAGCACAAGGTTAAAAAGCTATCATAAAATTCTACAAAGAAAACAGAACTCAAAGCTTGAAGGTATAGAAGTGGTGAAGATGCAATGAAAAATTCAGAATTTGGTCCCATTTTTCTTCTCAAGGACCTCAAATCCTACAACTTCTTAATTTTATTTAACTTTAAGCACACTGAAAAAAAGAAAAATATTGTCACATGATGGCTTGAAAGAAGCTGTGGTATCAATGACTTTCTTCATCTATAAAATGAAGATAATTATCATATGAACCTCTTAGGGCTTCTGGGGAAATTAAATGAGATAATTATGTAAAAGTAAACATCATATAGTAGGCACTTAATAAATTGCCACTAGTATTATCATTATCATCATAATTATTATTAGGTAGGGGGGAAATAGAAAAGAAAACAGACTTTAATAGAGTTTCTCAAAAAGAATTAATTAAGCAGAAACAAAAAACGACTGTGCTGCCCCATTTTACTAAGTACATCTAAGTAAATTAAATTTAGGAAACGAGGCAATGCAAAGATTGAAAATAAAGTACAACTTTCTTTAATGCTTCAATCATTATCAAAACAACATTAGCAATACAGCACTCCAACCACTATAGCAAAGAGCCCCAGGCTCATTTATGAGGGCATAGGCTTTCCGCAAATGAAGACATAAAATCCAAATCAAGGCAATAAGGATTGCTCGAGGAACCGTGCACATATTTGCAGAGAGCACTCACTGCTTAAACACCCCCAAGTGGAATCCTAAATAGATTGTGGATCTAGGCCAAGATCAGGATGAGCTTTCTTCAACTTCATGTGGTGGAGAGAATAGCTCACATCTAATTTCATATGCATGAAGTATTGGAGCAATTTTCTCAATAATTTCATCTATCAGCATCTTGGGGAGGAAATATATTTTAGGGAAAAAATGTGCCCCCCTCCCCATTTATCATCTTGTAGGGGTCTCTGATTTTAGTCTCATCTCCCCAAATGTTTGTCATACAAATGGTTCTGGGGCAATGCCTCTACAAATATGACATTGGCTTGAGGTCTGACATCAGAGTCTATCTTTTTCCTATGAAGCAGGGAAAGAGAATGAAAAAAGATTAAAACAAATACATAGTATAGTGACAAGGAAGAAGGCTGCACAATGAGTTCAGACATCATCTAGCTGTCTCTATGTTCCTTTGCTAGGATTGGCCATGTGCCTGTCCAAATAATTTGAATAATTTAAGGTGATTTAAAAAAATACATATATTTTGTGTGTGCGTGTGTGTGTGTGTGTGTGTGTGTGTGTGTGTGTGTGTGAGAGAGAGAGAGAGAGAGAGAGAGAGAGAGAGAGAGAGAGAGAGAGAAATACAACTAGTAGGTGCTGCCCCCATTTCCTACCATTCTGTTTACATGACTAATGTTCAAAATCCATGCCACAGCAGCCATATCCTATCAAAATCTTGCAAAAACTCCCTTTCTCACCTATTCTCGAGGTGTTGCAGGCCTAGAAAACAATGTGCAAAATGCAGGACTAGACAGAGATGGTTACACCCAAAGCATTTAGATCGAGAGTCATGTCAACTACTCTGCATGTAAGAATACCAAACCCCTCTAGGCAGGCAATAGTAGTAAGATATGTGTGGGCCTGGTAATTCTTGGAATTAAATCACAAATAGTCCATTCTGAAAAAGCACCTTAACACCCCAAAGGGTAAGATTCAGTTCTCATCTTCAACCCAATTCTCATGTCACATTACTTCTTATCACCCCCATTTGCAGCCAGCCAATCTAAGAGGTACATGAATGGTACATGTATTTTTAAAATCACCTTAAGCTGGGACCGGTTTGGCTCAGTGGATAGAGCGTCGGTCTGTAGACTGAAAGGTCCCAGGTTCGATTCTGGTCAAGGGCATGTACCTTGGTTGCAGGCACATCCCCAGTAGGGGGTGTGCAAGAGGCAGCTGATCGATGATTCTCTCTCATCGATGTTTCTAACTCTCTATCCCTCTCTCTTCCTCTCTGTGAAAAATCAATAAAATATATTTCAATAAATAAACAAATAAATAAAGAAAATCACCTTAAATTATTCATTCTATTGCCAAATTGTTAGTCTCAACAAACTCTTCACAAGTCTGACTGCTAAATAGGTTTAAAAATACTTCAAGCTGATATATTGTACTTCATATAATCAACCCAACATCCCCTGAAGTTTTGTCCCAAGAAACTGTTGTGAATGTATGATTTATTAGCTAATTTGAATAATTTTGTAAGCTAATTCTAAGAATTTCATTATAACATACAAAATAAGCTATAATCAACCCACCTTACAATTCAAAGAGGTTAATTTTAATAAAGGTACTATAACTCTAAAGATTTGGAATATCTAGTCAGAATTATTATTTTTTCTATAAAACCTCAATTCTTTCTTTATGGGGCAAGAAAAAGGCAGCTGATTACATCTGCTTAAGAAAAAAATAAAAGAAAGCCCCAATATCCTTAATTAATTTTCCCTCACAGGAGGCAGCATACTGAGGTTGTTAAAAGTATAGACTTTAAAAACCAAGCTGCCTGGTTTCAAATTCTGCTTTCACTTATTATTCTGCTTATTAGTTGTGTGACCTTATAATTCTGCTTATAGTTGTGTGACCTAGGGCAAATTACTTAGCCATTCTGTGCCTTGGATTTTTATCCATAAAATGGGGATAATAATAATGATACTTCCATTTCAGAATTATTTTGAGGATTAAATGAATTAATATATGTAAAGCACTTATAAGATTACCTAGCATATAATGCTATATACATGCTTTCTATTACCAATACTGTTACCCTTATCATTATCATCCCTAGCTGGGTCTTTGAATCAAAGGAGGTATTCCCCATCCTGCCACTCCTACAAGTTAGCAAAGAGAAATGCAATTTTCTACACATCTGGCAATGCAACAACAGATTATTTTAGTCACAGACAGATATAGTAAGAACTGAAACTCACAAGAAGTGAAAACCACTCACACAAATGAGAAAATGTAGAGCCATCAAACCAGTTTTCCCCTCTTAAATGGAAATGGTCCCAGTGGTCAGAAGGAGTTTGTATATGTTTCAGAACTATCTAACTCATGCCTAGAGAAAACTAGTATTTAAGTAAACTATTTTTATTCTTTAAGCAAGTCTTACAGGTTATTTGAAAGAAAATATAATTTACTCTTTCTAAAGGAATTTATAACATTTTACAAACAGATAAACAGTATGTCCTTGGACAATGATTTTTTTGCCAATACCTACCTTTCCAAAGATTGGAATGAAACGTCTTTAAAAAACATGTTTTCCTTAAACAGAATTTTTTTCTTACTAGGAGGTATTTATATCAAGCATTAATGCTATAATGGTAATTTATAACTTATATTTAGCTTTTGAAAGCCAAGTACCCACATAATGATACCTCTGGCACCACATTTAAAATGATCGCCAGAACTCACCTTGGAAAACTGCAGCATTCTGGATAATTAAGAACTTGAGCTCCATACTTGCAGATTGAAGCAGTTGTTCCATGTTCAAACGTGCCGTTATTTGGTATTTTTCTTCCATCTTCCTTGAGCAGCATGTTGGGCCCTTGGGGAGACATACTTGCAAATCTGATCCTGAAACAAACAAGTTTTTCATGTTTCAGTAAGCAGAATATCACATATACACATTCACACAGAGAAAAGAGGCAGAGGCCAAAACAATGCATTTCTTTTAAAGTTCAGTAAAATGTTGATTATTCAAAATTAGTGTTTATCTTAACTAATCCCTTCTTCCCAAATATCCTTATGACTGATTCTATTTGAATAACCATTAGAATTAATTACCTAGGTTTGACTCATAAATTCTGCATAAGTTTAATTTATTGCACCATGTATACACCATTGAATACCGATATTTAATGTCTGTTAAAAGATTAATCTACACCCCTACAATTTTTTTTTCTGATTATAATTTACAAATGAGAACATAACCAAGAAATAATTTTCAAAATTCCAGTTATGATTTCCAAATGAAATGTATGTCTGGTCAACCCAATGTTGCTTTTTGGGGGATAAATGTATAAAACAGCAGTATCATACTGAAGCTTTGTTGTTGTTATAATTTTAATTAAAGATCTAAGGCAATAGTTACAGAGGAAACACCCAGAGTACAATATTAACATTCAGGCAATCACCTAATTCCTTGGGACTCCAAAATTATAGTTCTATCACAAATGCAGAACTCTTGTTCCTTTGAACTGCTGAGCTATTTCACTGCTACCTACATTATGATACAGAATGTTTTTATTTTTGCATTTCCATAAAGATTTGCCAAATCAGGACCTATTCTGAGTCTTCATTCAATGTGAAAACTATTGACAGTATTACAAATGTATTTCATTTTCCCAACCTTTGCCCCTCTCCACCCAACTCCTACCCACCCACCCCCAGGTCTTCATCACCATATTGTCTGTGTCCATGGGCTATGCATATAAGTATAAAAATTCTTTTACTTATCTCACCTCATCCTCTCACCCCCACATTGAGTGTGTTAGTTTGTTCCATGCCTCCATGCTTCAGTGTGATTTTTTATAACATCCTTCACAGTTGACCAATCTCTACTTTTTAAAACACTCTCTTTCTCCCTTGTTTTAGTGAACCTACCCCATCCCCCCCTCCCCCCACATACACATACAAGCATGCACCTACTGCTATGACCATTTTTCTCTCTCTTTTCTTGCTTCCTCTTCTCCTGCCTATCACTTAAATTTTATTGACCCTTTCCTTCATTCTACATCTCCTCTCTGGATGATCTTACCTAAACCCATACAATTGCTAAACTCCCTAATCCAGCCCTCACCTCTTTTCTAAGTTCCAAAATCCTACATTTTCAACTACTTTATAAGAATCTAAGATTTAGAATGCCCAAAACTGAACTCAATATATCTCATAAACACACACACACACACACACACACACACACACACACACACAGTTCTCTGTCTTCTGTACTCTGTTATCTCAGTTAATGATCATCATCCATCAAGTTTCCCAGCGATAGAAACCTTTGTCATTCTCAGCTCTTTATTGGTGACTCAACACACTTCTGCACCCATCGAAGTCATCAGCATATGAATGAAAACTGAAGCCATGGGAGTAAATGAAAGTCATGCACCAAATATTAATTGAGTACCTATGTGCCAACCACTGTGGCTATAGCAGTATACAATGTCCCTCCCCTTGAGGACCTTAATTCTGGTAGACAACAAACTATGATAATAAGTACTACAGAAAAAATAAAACTAAGTAAGGAAAGAAAAACCAACTGTGATATTTTACGTATACGTATATATGAAATAGAATTGTACTCAGCCATAAAAAGGAATAAAGTATTGATACATGTTACCGCATAGATGAATTTTTAAAATATTGCACTAAGTGAAAGAAGCCAAATTTAAATTACATACTCTATGACTCCATTATATAAATATCTAAAACACGAAAACTAATCTATAGTGACAGCAGTTAAGTGATTGTTAGGAGGTGGAGCACAGGGAGGGGTGGGAGTGAGGAAATTCGGGAGGATGATGGATATATTCATTATTTTCATTGTCGTGATTGGTTTATGGCTATATACATAAATCAGATTTATCAAATTATACCCTTAAAATGTGTGCAATTTATTGAACCAATTATACATCAATGAAGCTGTTAATTTTTCTTTTTTTGAACCATTTATTTTTTAAATTTCTTTACTGATTAAGGCATTACATATATATCCTTATTCCCCTATTACCCCCACTGCCTGTTGTCTGTGTCCATTGATTAGGCTTATATGCATGTATATAAGTCCTTTGGTTGATCTCTCCACCTTAGCCCAACCATCCCCTACCTTCCCTGAGGTCTGATGTTCTGATTGATGTTTCTGTCTGTGGACTGTTTTTGTTCATCAGTTTATGTTGTTCCTTATATTTCACAAATGAGTGAGATAATGTGATATTTATCTTTCTCTGCCTGGCTTATTTCATTTAGCATAATGCTCTCTAGCTCCATCCATGTTATTGAAAATGGTAAGAACTCCTTTTTTAACCACAGCATAGTATTCCACTGTGTAGATGTACCATAGTTTTCTATTCCATTCACCTGATGATGGGCACTTGGGTTATTTCCAAATCTTAGCTATGGTGAATTGTGCTGCTCTGAACATAGGGGTGCGTACATTCTTTTTAATTTGTGTTTCTGGTTTCTTGGGATATATTCCTAGAAGTGGGATCACTGGGTCAAATGGGAGTTCCATTTTTAGTTTTTTGAGGAAACTCCATATTGTTCTCCATAGTGGCTGCACCAATCTGCATTCCCACCAGCAGTGCACAAGTGTTCTTTTTTCTCTGAATCATCACCAACACTTGTCATTTATTGATTAGCTGATGATAGCCATTCTGACAAGTATGAGATGGTACTACATTGTTGTTTTGATTTGCATTTCTCAAATAATTAGTGACTTATTATCATCCATCAGGGTGAGCCAGCCAGACCCCACCTGTGTATGAATTCGTGCACCAGCCCTCTAATGGTGTATAAAAATGCCATAGATTTCTGGGTGTTAATTTTGTGTCCTACTACATTGACTAATTCATTAATTAAATCTAATAATTTTTAGAGTCATTAAGGTTTTCTATGTACAGTATCATGTCATCTGCAAATAATGGTAATTTTACTACTTATTTTCAAATTTGAATACCTTTTATTTCTTCTTCTTGTCTAATCGCTATGGCTAACACTTCCAGTACTATGTTGAACAGTAGTGGTGAAAGCGGGCATCCCTGTCTTTTTCCTGTTCTTAGGTTTTAGTTTTTGTCCATTAAATATGATGTTGGCTGTGGGTTTGTCATATATGGCTTTTATTATGTTGAAGTATGATCCCTCTATTCCCACTATGCTAAGGGTTTTTATAAAGAAAGGGTATGGGACGTTTTCTGCATTGATTGATATGACTATGTGATTTTTGTCTCTCAATTTGTTTATGGGATATATCACATTTATTGATTTAGGGATATTGTGCCATCCTTCCATCCCTGGAATAAATCCCTCTTGGTCATGGTATATGACATGTCTAATATAGTACTGGATCTGATTTGCTAGAATTTTGTTGAGGATTTTGGTATCTATGTTTATGAGGGATATTGGCCTGTGATTCTATTTCTTTGTATTGTGTTTATCTGGTTTTGGGATTTGGGTGATGCTGGCTTCATAGAAAGAGCTTGGAAGTGTGCCTTCCTCTTAAACTTTTTGGAATATTATGAGGAGGATAGGTTTTAGTTCTTCTTTGAATGTTTGGTAAAACTCCCCTGTGAAGCTGTCTGGCCCTGGGCTTTTGCTTGCTGGATTTTTTTTATTACTGCTTCAATTTCCTCTGTAGTTATTGGCCTATTGAGATTTTTTATTATTCCTGATTGAATTTTGGAAGGTTGTATTTTTGTAGGAATATGTCCATTTCCTCTAGGTTGTTTAGTTGGAGAATAAAGTTGTTCATAATATTTTTTCATAATCATTACTTAATCTCTTGCATTTCTGATTTTGTTTATTTGGGTCCTCTCCCTTTTTTTCTTGGTGAGCCTGGCTAGAGGTTCATCAATCTTGTTTATCTTTTCAAAGAACCAGCTCTTGGTTTCATTGATCTTTTGTATTTTTTTTTGACTCTATGTCATTTATTTCTGCTCTGATGTTTATTATCTCCTTCCTTCTGCTCACTCTGGGATTTTATTCTTGCTCTCTTTCTAAATCTTTAGGTTGTAGAGGTATATAATTTATTACCAGTGGGGTTTTTTGTTTGTTTATTTTTGTGTTTTTGGTTTTTTTAAAAGGTAGCCCTGTAATGCTATGAACTTTCCTCTCAGGACTACTTTACTGTGCCCCATAGATTTTTGGATTGTTGTGTTTTGATTGTCATTAGTTTCCAGGATGCTTTTAATTTCTTCTTTGATATCTTTGGTAACCCAATCATTGTTTAATAACATGCTAGTTAACTTCCAAGTATTTGATTTTTTGTTTTGTTTTTATTGTAGTCGATTTCTAATATTATGCCATTGTGGTCTGATAAGATGCTTGATATGATTTCAATCTTCTTCAATGTGGAGAGACTTTGCCTATGACCCAATATGTAGCTATCTTTGAAAATGTCCCATGAGCATTTGAGAAAAATGTGTATTTTGTAACTTTGGAGTGAAATGTTCTGAAGATATCAATTAAATCTATCTAATCTGGTGAGTTATTGAGGATTGCTGGAGTGTTTAATTTTTTGTTGTTGTTGTTTTGGAGGGTTTTTTGTTAATTTTTTTGTCTAGAGGATTTATCCAGTGATGTCAGTGGGGTATTAAAGTACCCTACTATGATTGTATTGCTGTCAATCTCTCTCTCCATTGATATCTTCCAGAAATTTTATTTTTATGTATTTGGGTGCTCCTGCATTGGATGCATATAAGGAAGGCTTTTTTCATAAGGCAATATTTGAGGATATATGAGTGAAGAGTGGGAGAGTACCAGGATTTTATATCCTCCACCAATACAAGCAAATATTAGGGCTCAATGAATATTAATTCAAATATCCTTCCTCTTTTGAAACTCCTGATTTAATC